TTCATTCAAATAGAGAAAAATCTGAAGCAATTAATTGATGAATGTAGTTTGATGGAAAGACAAGAACTTTCATTTATAGGCCTTGACGAACATGAAGATTCTCTTAACTGAGGAAACTATGCCAATTCTCGCAGATGCTTTGAAATTGCTAAAAAAATTAATAGTTCTATTTTCCAAATTACTACACTATACCTCATTTAAATGGAAAGCTCCTGCAGTACTCTAAAGATAACTGTCCTCTTTTGCTTTCAATTTACTCTCATTAAACTCATCAACTCAACTGACAACTTAGTTAACACAACAGAAAAATGTATTAAATTATGATGAAGGAAGATGAGCAGTTTTTTTCAATATGAATTTGTTAGTTACATTTATGATCATCAGATGGTCCTTTATTTGCAACAGAATACAAAAGAATTGTGTAGGTGCTGATTTTTCTCTAAATATGAAATATCTATTTTCTTCAGATACAGAACAATACGAGGAATATCCATTTGACATGAGAACTGAGAACTTTTCATATGCATCAGTATCAAGACTGCTTAATGATCTTACTTCCATTTTGCAGAACAGTGGATCCCAACCTTTTTTCTTTCAATATCCCTTAATAAGACTTCGTAATAATAGTGTTCCTTTCTCTTCCAGCATCTACAACCTTCTCACCTCTCTCCTATATTCCCATAACATATCTTATTATTATATTATTTTAATAGCCTAAAATTAATAAACTGTAACGAATAATGTCACAATAAGTTAATCTTTATCAGTTAATGGTAATTTGAAGGCTGCTTAAAAGAAATCTACATTGAAAGGATCCGTAATCCATTTAATCTCCTCACTTCATTTGGGAAAGCAATGTCTGAATGACAATTAAAGCTTTTTTTAAGAGGACTACTTTGGCTCATTTTCCTTGACTTAAAGCTCATTTTCTACTAAAAAGTTATGAAGTTTCTCAAATATTTTCATCTACTTCCTCCTTCCAAAGCATGATTCCTCAAAATCTCTAACTTTCTGATCATGGAATCAATTTTGCTGTATATTTTTAACATAGATGTGAACCTACTGAAGAAAAAATTAAAAAATGACAATTCAGTTTCACTAATTAAACAACTGGGTACTGCAAACATCTCTGATCTCTTTCTGAAAAACATTAGTATCTCTTCTGCAAATATAACTTCTATCATTTTATCTTTAATTTTAGAGTATCATAAAAGCATTCTAATGAAAAACATTAGTGCTTTTTCCTGCAAATATAACTTCTACCATTCAATCTTTAATTTTACAGTACTATAAATAAAAGCTTTCGAATGTTATTACAGAAAAGACATTTAGTAAATGATGAACAGAATTTAATTTTGTAAAAATGCGAACACTTTAAAACGGACAAATAAGTCAATGTCTCTGCTAGGGGCCATGCATACTATAATCAATGCAGGGGTGTTAATTCTTTAAAATCAGTTAAAACTGTTTTTGAAAATGTGGCTTTTATGTAGAAAGAGCCTCAGAGGAATTGAAAACAGCTGAAGTTTCAGATATCAGAAATGGAAGTTATGAAGATTCAGTTTTAGAATACATGTCAATTCACAACATTATTGAAACAAAGTATATATGGTGACTATGAAAGCCTTAAAAGAACTGCAAAATCTAACAGCAAAAGTGATGCAGGAAAAATGTGCCATCACCAATCGAATCTAGAAAAGCCCAGTGAAATCTAAGAAAAATTCTTGAATCAAAAGGTACTAACAAAAAAAAAAAAACTATTAGAAGTTTCACGAAATTGAGATACAACTAAAAAATTGTTGTTGAACACTATGTAACAAAAAGAGACAGATTTGTAAAATTAAATAAGATAAAATTTCTTCAAAAGCTTTGAGATCTTATATTACGCCTGAATGGACTTTTTTTTTTATTAAATATTGTGTTCTTCACACTTAAACCACATAAAATTCAATTCAACAGCAGTATCACAAAATATTTAAAAACAGCACATCTTTAGAATTTCCGATACAGTCTCACGTACTGGAGATAAAAATTCTCCCCCCCATACACTGTTGCAATTGTTTGATTTAAAATTCACATTTGTTAATCAAAAATTCATTAAAGTTTTACAGAATATGAAATGGATAATAAAAGAAATTCGAACTTCCAGGTGCCCATATTCAGGTGAAGGAGGTCACTCAATATCTGATGTCTCTAAGTACTGTCGTTTTTTCACAATGCAAGAAACATAAATACATTCCTGCAGAATTTTCATTATTTAATTTCTTTAAATATAATACAAAATAATAATATTTGGTGGCAACAATTTGAAAAGTGATTCGTCATTCATAGTGAAATGCCACAATATGACGTTTTGAGACTAATAGCCCTTCTGGGCAAATTAATTTCAAAACTACATGAATGGTTTAATTTTAGTACTAATTTTTAATTATTATTTTAGGATTAATGAATGAAAAAAATTATTATTTTACTTGAAATGTTTAAAAATGATATCATAGTTCACAATGCATAAATTGGTGTCTATAAAACTCTAACGCAAACACATTTGGAATAAAGTGTTTTAGTAAGTGGGGGTACTGTATACAATGTTTCCTTTTCTTGGCACAAACAATCTTTATTCTGTTTATTCAGTACATTTTCCCAGTAAAATACTTTCTGCTGAATACTGATAGCTTGTCTTCCGTTCGAACACAAGCTACTGGGTTAGCTGCATGGTTCACTTTCGTGGTTTTCGATATGTGTTACATGAATACATACCAGTTTCCATTAGACAGTCTTCTATGAAGCCATTTCTCCTTTAGGCAGATAGTCCTCATGTGTTTTGCCATATTCAAATAACCAAACCATCTTTCTGACTTCATGGATGCAGTTTGCTGTTAATGTCACTGTCATCAATGTTAAATATTAAACTATTTACACCTCTTTTCAAAAATAATGGTGAATACAATGCTTTCTCCATAACCTCTTGTACATAGTCTATTTCAGCGATTCTCAACTGGTGATACACAAGAGAAACAAAGTATTTTTAGCTATTAAATTCAAGAATCTCATAAAAAGAAAGAACAATTAATAGAAATTTCCTGTGAGTGAACTCTAACTGAAGATTTAAAATAATAACACACTTGTTGACTTTTGGCTGAACAGAAAAAAATAATTTAAATGCATTTCAAATAAAGCTTTTACATTTTTATTACCATTTTGCACAACCTATTTACATGAACAAGGATTTTCTTCCATGTTATATTTGAAAAATAAATACAGAATAAAATTAAAAGTGGATTCTAATTTACATTTAAAACTAAGCGAAATAAGACCACACATAAACAAATTGATCTCTCTTAAACAGGCCCAGATTTTACAGCAAATTTTAGAATTAAAAGTATTATAAACTTAAATTTTGATAATTAAAATGGTAATCAATTTTTAATCTAATACTTTTTATGTGTGCATATTTAATATAAATAGCCAATAGGTTGTGCAAATGGTAAAATATGTTTTTTAATATTTCTAGTCATAAACTGAAAAATAATAATTGTAAAATGTAGTGATGGTACTAAAGTTTTTCAATTTTTTTTTAGGTGGTATGCGTTAAGTCAAAAGGTTGAGAGCCGCTGATCTATTTTATTATTGTTTAAATGTTCCCTTTTCCCCCTGGTGTGTTATTAACAGTCTATTAATTTCCTATCAAATTTGTTTCTAGATAAAAGTAAATTTTTTATTCCTGAAATAAAAATTTCTCTTTGCTTCGCTGTGCTACCTGTTAAAAGTGCATATTACATTCTCCAAATTTGAGAATGCAGTATTTAATGTACAAAGTTCAGTACACTTCCATTTCATTGAGAGTATCACAATACATGTCAAATATTCCAAATTATTGGGAAATGCACATGAATTTCATGACATTAAATATTATTTTAATATTTTCATTTATTTAAACTAAAATAATAATGCAATAGCTGAAACATTTTCAACCACTTCATAAATTTTAATAAATTTGTTCTTGAATATATAAAACTATTAAACCTATGATTTTGTTTTATTGGTAATGAAAGCTGCATTTTAATAGCTATTTTAATTATATGAGTGTGTTTCAAAAACAATTCTAAAGTTTATTTAATCACATGAATGCCTTTTGTGCATTTTTTTAATATTATCTTTGAAAACTATTTAAATTTAGTGAACGATTCATGCAACAAAAGTCAGCTTGCATTAGTATTACAGTCAAGAGTCACTAATCTGGGCTCGTCGGGACTTCGGTGATTCCGGATTATAGATCATCAGTTTAATTCTGGTAAGATGGCATGCAGAAATTATAAAATTAAAAATATGAAACCATAATTTATGAAATAAAGAACAATTATGATCTAAAGGGTATCAAAATTTACAAAAAAAAAAAAAAAGCTTAATATTTATTTGTTTACTTTATTAAACATTTCTTTCAATGTAAGTTGTTTAAGTTGCTTCGTTTTATGTGATAATGCTTTCTCTTTAATTCTATACACAGACATAATTTCTTGAGTTCCGCTGTTCAAGTCCTATAATTGCTGTGTCGAGAATACCGACTAATTTGTCAATAAAAATTTTTTCGTTTTCAATAACCTCTGTGTTACTTTCTTCACTATCGGAAGCAAATTATAATGACGAGGAATTTGATTTAAATCATATCAAAGACGGAATACATCGAGATGAAATACTACATTTAGTAAGGAATTATAAGCCAAATAAAATAAAAACATCTGAAATGAAGATAAGGATAGCAGATTCTTCCTTATTTAATTCCTTTAAAAATAATAGAGGGTGATAATATTTGGCAGCAACAATTTGAAGAGCAATACAGCCTTTTAAAGGAATTGATTGCAAAATCTTGTTTCTAGACTAATAGCCCATTTGGGCTAAAAAAAATTACTTTGATATCAAAATTTACTCAACATATGTTCAATGTTTCTGTGAGCAACAGAGAATAATTAATGTTTAAATGGGAAAGAAATTATTTCAAATACCTTGCAAGTTCTTTTTGCAGATCGACCATACACTGTTGGCACTGGTTGTAATAAGCTGCCTGAGCTTCAACAAAATCATTAAGACAGCGCAAGTGATTTGCCTATAAGTATAAAATCTCATGAATAATACTAATTCTAAGGAAACCATTTAAAAATATTTTGAATATATGAAACTATGATGCTTCTAAATAACATGCTTTAAAATTTGAAGCAGAGTAATATTTTTTATAATTAGTTTAAGCTTTGGACCTAACCTTATAATTTCTTTTTATCATCATAAATGCAAATTAAAAATAACATGGTATGAAAAAGTAATTTTCTCTTCAATTCACTTCATTAGAACAATATAAATTTAATGTCATATAAAACTGATTATCATTAAGTGTGACTAAGCTCAGTGTTTAGACCTTGTTTCATAACTTTTCCTACGTATTACAAATGTAAATCAAAATATACACATAACAACCAACTAACTAAGCCTTCAACTCACTTTATCATATCAATATGAATTTAATGGCATACAAAACTCATCATACTCTACTCAGAGTTTAGTTCTACACTTTTTAGTATTTTATAAACATTATCATGTAATTTAAAAGTTACACCATAATTACCAAATGATATTTCCTTTAATTCACTGTCCTAAAACAAAATGAATTTCTCATCACACACATTTCTTTTTAAAAACTTTGTATTGTAACTTACATGAGCACTACTAATCCCTTCAAGTAAGAGCCTAGTGATCTCTGCTTGCCTATCAAATTCAGCCTGAGAAATTCTGAGTTCTGTTTCAGCCTAAAAATCAACCACGACAAAATTTAATAACCAAATCATATTAGAATAATAAATATAAAAAAAGATTTATATAATATAATAAAAAGAAATATAAAAAAATATAGTTAAAAACTATATTTTATTGTTTATGTAGGTAAGATGATTGCATTCACCTGCTCCCACTAATTTGTCAATGTGTGAAGAACTCCAGAGATGATACTGTACAGACGTAGTAGAATTTCAAGTTTAAGTGGGATTATTAGCGTCTGTAATAGGTCTTATATGTTTTTAGGCACTGGAATAAATTTACCCCTTAATTTTAAAATATTCATCATCTTCCCCTATATTAACATCTTCACAAGATAATTTAAAGGTAAAAAGCTGTAAATAATCAGATTCAGTCCTTTTATAAAATTATCTCATTTCCATAAAATAATCTCCTAACTTAAGCCATCTTAATAAACATTTAAAAAGTTCAAGACCATTAGCTATTACACTGAAAAGAAACAGCTAATGTGAAGAGATAGATCCGAGCACCATTTGAAGCAGAATGATTAACAATGATATATATATAAAGAATTAATAATTTTCTTCTCTCTTCAAATTCAGAATTTTATAATAGTTAAGCATAATTATAATAGTATTAGCAAATCCATTTACTAGCTATAATTAGTACTGTAGCCAATCTCTTAACAATAAACTGTTGGACTAACTGTGACAACAAGGCTGCCCTCTGGTGAGTAGCCAGAGAAGTACTTCAGTAAACGCCAAGGCTCCCACTTGATAGGTTGTACCAGACTGTTGCTCTGTAGTTTTTCTTAAAGTTAAATGTAATGTCTGTGTGTAACTTAAACCTGTTAATAAATATTTGTTACACTATACCGGACTCTTCTATGACCCTATCTAAAATGACCCCTTTACAAAGTGACACCCAACGTTAATATTTAGCTTTAAGAATTTTCCTTGGCTTTTGCTAATTTTTCTTTTTCAGAAACAGTCCTTGCAGCCACACCCGCTGGATCTAACTCCTAAAACTTTAGGAAAGGAGATACCTCGCCCGTCAGGTATGAGTTTTTTTTTTTTTGCGTGTTCCACTCTGATGGTCTATCAGCAACAAATAGTTGTTGTTAATGATATTATTTGTTTTGCATTTAAACACTAATGTTCTATAATGTGTTAACCCTTAATGTTGAAAACATGCAAATACTTAAATATGAAAACGTAAAAATACTTTACTGTGTTCTTAAAATATATATGTATATCTTTTATGAATATTGTATCATTTTGAAGTGATTAAGAAATTCTTTCATTTTGTTTACACCTGAGTGCTCTAGAACTGCATAATCATAATATTCAGTTTTGTTTCGAAATAGTAAATGTGGTAAAACATGAAAAGGTATAATATATTCAAAGCAAGGCAATTTAAGAGTAAACTTCTGTATTAGAAATTGTTGTAATAATATGCTGAATGTATTCAATCTTATAAACGTAGCTTCAATTTGAGCTCAACTTGACGAACCAGTGACATGTTTGTTACCCTGTTGCCTCCATAACGGTTTTATTTATTGATATTATACTTTTCAGATGTGCGTAATTCTTTTAGTTTCATAAGTGTATTGCTATCTATGAATGTTTTATTCTGTCTTTTGAGAATAGAAGTAATTAACTGAAAAGGGTTTTATTGATGTTATTTAAACTGTGCTATTTCTAAGACCTGTAAAATGTTTTATTTTAAGTAAGAGAGTTTTTTTTTTTAATATATATTATTTTGACACTGTGTTACTTTTGATATAACGAACTTTAGTATAGTGCTATTCTATGGTACAATTACTAAAAGTCATTTCTGGGTAAGGTGCCCTCATTACAACCTTCTAGTCAGTGCCACAATAAAGTTTTTTTTTTTCATCGAAGAATTTAAGTAAAACACGTCATCATGTCGTTTTTTGCTAAAGGACGTAAATAAGATATGTGTGTTCTAGCAAAAGAACTTGGGGGTAAATGTTACGGAACAAATGACAACAGTTGATATTAAGGATGCCATTTTAACGAGTAAGGGATATAATGAAAAGTTCACTAAAGATCTATATTTTAGCATTATTGTGGAAAGAAAAGAAATAGAGGAATGTGAATTTAACGAAAGAAAAAACAGCGTGAGGAACGCGAATATAACGAAAGGAAAGAGATAGAAGTTGCAAGCACGAGCTTGAGAAACTGAAAATACAAGTAGCTAGTTCAGGTGCTAGTCATGATTCCATACCTGCTTTGAAACTCACTGACACGGATATTCCTAAGTTACAATTACAAACTTTAATTCCTCACTTTAATCCAAAAAGTGATGACATGAGCCTTTTTCTCACTCTATGTGAAAGGCAACTAACAATTTTGAACATACCTTAAGGGAAATGGGTAGTGTATCTCTTAGGTTTGTTACCTAATGAACGTTGCAAAATTGATTGCAAAGGAATCTGCTGGTGATGCACAAGATTATGACAACATTAAACAAATTCTCTTAAAGAATTTTAAAATTGAGTGCTGAAAAGTTTCGACAGTTATTTTCGCAACATCGCAAAAGTCCGGAGAGTACATGGCGAGATTTTTACTTCGATTTAAGAAATTTCTTTGATGGCTGGATTGGCGAATTAAAAGTCAATACTTTTGAGAAGTTAAAGGATTTGATGATATCAGACCAAATTAAAAGACGGTCCCCTTCTGAGTATAGAGAACATTTTGTGGATCATTGGTCCGAGTGGACTGATCCGCTTCAACTGGCTGATAAATTAGATTTATATGAAGAAGCTAAAAACATCAGGAGTAGAAACGTCAATAATAACACTCCAAAGCCGTCTCAACGTAGTGGTCCTAAAAATTATAAAAATAACCCTCAACTTGTTAAAAACTCAGCGACAAGGAATTCTGGCATGAGAGAAGATCGACCAACTGTTAGTTGTTATGGTTGTGGAAAATCAGGCGTCGTTAAGGCTAAGTGTCCAACCTGCTCTCCTTCTTTAAGTAAAGAATCAGCTGACTTCAAAGCAATAAACTTACATACAGTGTCTGTAGAGACACCTCACACGACTCTTTTAAGAGTAAAAATCAACGGATTTACGGGAATTGTCTGTGCTGATACTGGCGCTACTCACACTATAGCGGGAGAAACATTATATAATCTCTTGAAAGAACAAGGATCAGAATTTAAGAAAACTACTATGAAGGTCACTCTTGCAGGACGGTATTCAAAGGAACGAAGAGGTCCACATGACCCAGGTAGACATTCACATTGAAGGAAGATCATTCCGCATAACTTTATTTGCGCTTCCCTCAGCAAAGGGTAACAGGACACTTTTAGGATCGGATTTTCTTAGAAGCGCTGGAATTGTTTTAGATCTACAAAATCATTGGTGGTTTTACCACAATAATCCGCAACAAAAGTTTAAGTTTATTGATGATGATTCTAAACCTAATGATCGAACCGAATGTACGTCGGAAGTTGACACTGTACTGTTAAGAGAATGTGAAGGACAACATCTATCGGCTCATCAAAGATCACAATTAAATGAACTATTGAGTCAATATTCAACTATCTTCCAACCAGGGGAGAAAGCAACACCTTTCATAGAACATCGAATTAAAACTGGAAACCATCCCCCAGTAGCTGTACCACCATACAGAATGAACCCTGCTAAGAAAGAAATCTTAAAGCAAGAAATTGACAAGCTCTTATCCGAAGGAATAATTGAAGAATGCGAATCCCCTTATGCATCCCCAGTTGTTTTAATACCGAAACCTAATGGAACAGTACGCCTCTGCATAGATTACCGGAAATTGAACGCGATTACAGTTCCAGATTCCTACCCACTTCCGAGAATGGATGACCTGTTACATGAGGCAAAACCTACTCCTTTCATGTCGACCCTTGATCTCCGTGCAGGTTATCACCAAGTGAAGGTTCATACTGATGATCAAGACAAGACAGCATTTGTGTGTCCCTTCGGAACATATCGTTTCTTACGAATGCCCCAGCAACATTCCAGAGATTGATAGACCGTTTTCGCAATGGACTTGAGAACATCCTAACCCTCACCTATCTGGACGACATAATCATGTTGTCAGAATCATTCGAGAAACACCTTTCCGATCTCAAAGCTGTTTTCGAAAGGCTTTTGCTCTTCAAACAGAGAGAAATGCCACTTCGCTTCTTCTCGTGTGAAATATTTGGGGTTTTGGATCACACAAAAAGGAATCGAAGTTGATCCAAAAAAAGTTTCTCCTATCCAGAGAATTCCACCTCCCAAAAATGTCAAGGAACTCCAATCCTTCCTTCAAACGTGTTCTTGGTTTAGACAATATATACAAAACTTCGCAGAAATATTACGACCTCTTAGTGATTTGACGAAGAAGAAAGTCCAATGGGAATGGGGTTTCAACCAGCAAAAAGCATTTGCAACTCTAAAAAACTGCCTCATAAACACCTCCTGTGTTGAAGCAAGCAAATGGAACTCAACCGTATATTTTTCGAACAGATGCAAGCAATTATGCTCTTGGAGAGGTTTTACTTCAAGGGGAAGGGTCTAAAGAGCACCCTATCGAATATGCCAGCTGACTGCTTTCTCCGGCTGAGCGAAACTATTCGACGATTGAACGAGAAGCCCTTAATGTAGTCTGGGCCCTGAAGAAATTTCGTGGTTACGTAGAAGGATCAGAAGTAACTATAGCATCCGATCATCAACCTCTAAAATGGCTTTTGAACCTTAAGTCTCCAACTGGAAGACTTGCTAGATGGGCGCTTGAAATTCAGTCTTTCAACCTGAAAGTACAATACATTCCTGGAAAGGCAAACGTCATTGCTGACATGCTGTCCCGTCCAAGCGCCGAACATGAAGTTTCACCTTGCGAGATTTCATATATATCTCTGGTTGACATGCTCACAAGAAGTCCAAAAGACATGCGTGAATTTCAACTTAAAGATGAAAATTTAAAAAAGATTATAGAAAGTTTCGAATCCACTCAGAGAACTGAAGAATGTGCCAACTGGACTGAATGGGGATTCTTAATGAATCAAGGTGTTCTCTACCAATATGTCCCTGACTCTGATTCAGAAGAGGCCCAGTTAGTAATTCCCACTGCTGAGCGTGAACCCATCATGCGAAAGCATCATGATGACCCAATGGCTGGACATTATGGAGAGGAAGGAACATTCCAAAGAATTACCAGATGCTATTATTGAACTGGTATGAAAAAGTACATATCCGACTATGTGAAAAGCTGCCCTGAATGCAACTGCTACAAGGCTACCAACCAAAAGCCAGCTGGACTGCTAAGAACTCCTGTCTATTCTCAACGTTTTGAGATAATATCTATTGATTTGTTTGGGCCACTGCCAAAAACTGACACTGGAAAACAATGGATCTTCATTGTCGAAGACTGTGCTACGCAATGGATTGAATTATTTCCTCTTGCTCAAGCTACAGCACGCGACTGTGCTATAACCCTCATCGAAGACGTATTCATGCGGCATGGTATACCACGAAGAATCAACTGCGATAACGGCACCCAGTTTATCAGTGCAGTCACGCAACAAGTTTGCTGCACATTAAATATTAATCAAAACTTGATACCAGTTTACTTTCCTCAATTAAATCCTGTAGAACGGAAAAATAGAGACTTCAAACCTCGTCTTGCAATCTTAGTAGGAGATGCACATGACAACTGGCATTCGAAACTCCCAGTCATTTGCTTCACTATGAATACGGCCGTCTGTAACACTACAGGCCATACACCAGCATTCCTAATGTTTGGAAAAGACCTGAGGACTGTCGACGACGTTGTTCACGATTTCAAAGCTGTGGTTGAAAATGATAACTTTCTTCCTGAAATCACCCCTTATCTTAAACGATTCGCAACTATTACAAAGGACATACGAGAGTGTAACGAAATAAAGCAAGATCAACGTAAAAAGCAATATGATAAAAGAAGGCGACAAGTGTTTTATTCACCAGGTGATAAGGTATGGGTCAATTTACATCCCTTTAGCAATGCAAAAAACAAAAAGACTTCAAAGTTCATACTAAAGCGTGACGGTCCATACTTGGTAATGACACAGAAATCACCTACTACCTATGTCCTTTCATGCCTTAATAAACCATCAGAACCCCTAGGAACGTACCATACACCTGCACCAACACTTTTCAAAGACTTGTCCACTTCTCCCATTCTTCCGCTCCAGAAGAGAGGTAGACCACCAAAAATTACTTTGCAATCCCGAAATAATCAAGAACTTGTGGTTCCAAACAGTGCTTTAAAGAGAGGTCCCCTTGCCCAGAAAAGTAAAAAAACTGAGACTAGAGACAATGTTACAAGAGCTGCCAAATCCTCCAGTTCTGTCTCCTTGTCGGGACGTCGGCAGAGCCAGAGGGAGAGTTTGTAACCAATCCTTTAACATAAACTGTTAACAGTTGGACTAACTGTGACAACAAGGCTGCCCTCTGGTGAGTAGCCAGAGAAGTACTTCAGCAAAAGCCAAGGCTCCCACTTGATAGGTTGTACCAGACTGTTGCTCTGTAATTTTTCTTAAAGTTAAATGTAATGTCCGTGTGTAACTTAAACTTGTTAATAAATATTTGTTACACTATACCGGACTCTTCTATGACCCTATCTAAAACGACCCCTTTACAATACCTTATTTTTAAATATGGATATGTATACAATTAAATTTTTGGGAGTGGAAAGAAAATTTTACTTTGTAATATGAAACACTGATTAGAATTATAACTTTCACTTCTTTAAATCAAAACAAATATAATTTTATTTATTTTACATTTAGTTACTCATATAAATAAATATCATTTTATGATATTAGTTTACTCATGTAAATAAATATAATTTTAGTCATAAAACATTGTGGAGCTATATTAAAGAAAAAATGCACACTTAATACAATTAACTTTAGTAAAAACAAATATTTAATTTATTTACACTTAATCTGTACAAAGCATAATTACATACAGTTACTTCTTTTTCTTCTTTCTTTTATCTTCCACTGGAAACAGAATAGATTCAGAGACAGGCTCTTCTGCTTCTGGTTCAAACAGCTGCCTTGCTTGCTGTTTATAGTGGAAGTCAATGATCTGTGAATAAGCACATAGATTAAAAAATGTTTGATTAATAATTTTCCAAATCAATAAAAGTAAATTTAAATGAAAATTACTCTTATTAATATTAAAACACATACAATATATTTAAAATTATATTAATCAGGCTTTATTACATTAATTCAATTGAATATAATTTCTTTAATTAAATAATACTAAATTCAGTTAAAATTATTACAATATTTTTCAGCATGTAAGTAAATGTTTAAAATTAAATTTAAAGCCAAAAATATTTACTTACGTATTGAATATAAAAATTAAGGTCAATTTACATAATTGAGCCTGAGTTGCCTCATTACATTTTTGATAACTTAATGAAAGATAATAAGTGATATATTTGGGTAACCCACAGAAAATTTACAGAATGATTTGGTAAAGGTCATTTAAAAAACACACTATGTTTCAGCCACCAGAGCTCTCTGCCTGTCTGTGAGATATTATTTCGCAATGCGCAGATTGTATGCGTAGTTCGCATTTTGTTCTTGCATTCTTAAAACCGCTAATTGTAACTCTGTCGTTTTACTTTGTGCTATGTTGTGTTCGAAAGTTAAAACCGCCGAATAAAGGTTAAATTTACAGTCCACTCGCATTGATGTATTCTTAGGTTTATTAATTTAAAGTTAAGATACCGCTTCGCTACATTATTTGGTCGTCATACGCCGGAGCTTCGAGTAAAACCCGCGCTTGTGAATAAAGAATTCTACGTGTCCGTAATGGAGTTGATAATGCAATTTCGGTTTAGAATTCTCAAGACTTACGGAATGCATACAATGTTCGAGGTGAGTGAAATAGCTTTAACGCATTTTAATTGCATTTGAGATTTGAGATTTTCTTATTGCTACTATTGTTGTGTTTAAAGTATTAGTAAAATCGAGAATTTAGAATATTTTCAAAATGTCAGATATAGAAAAAAAGCGAAAGAAAATTTTGAAAACGCAGTTAACTAAATTCATTGAGAGAATAAATTATGATAACTTAGATAATGCTGAAGCTGAATTAATCTTAGAAAAATGTAAAATTTTTAAGGAAGATTTTAAATCTCTATTTAGAGAAATTTATACAAATTGTGATGATGAAAAAATAGACACTTTCGTTGAGGAAGAACAGTCGATTTTAGAGAAAATTGAGGAGGTTCACTTAAAAATTATTCGTAAGTTAAAGGTTTACAAGGTCGTAAATGCAAATGGCGACAAACCTGTCGTACCTGAATCAATCTCTGAAAGTTTAAAGTTACCGAAATTATCTTTACCCACATTTAGCGGAAATTTAACTGAATGGATAACATTTAAAGATTTATTTAACACTAGTGTTCGCAACAATCCAAATCTTTCTGGAGCTCAAAAATTACAATATTTAAAGAGTTCTTTGAAAAATGATGCTTATCGCATTATTCAGTCAATTCCCATAGCTGATCAAAATTTCAGTATTGCTTGGAATTTACTAGAAGGGAGATTTTCTAATAAGAGAGAACAGATATTTGCTTTTATTAAAAGAATTCTTAACGTTTCACAAATACAAAAGGAATCTGCATCCTCGATATTAAGTTTAGTAGATAACGTAATCGAAATAACTCGCTCATTGGAAATATTAGATCAAAGGATAGATAATTTTAGTGATACTTGTTGTTTGTATATTATTTTGCAAAAACTTGACGTTTCGACAAAGTTGTGGTGGGAGCGTCAATTAAAAAAAGATGAAAATACCAAAGTTGAATGACTTGATAGAATTTTTGAAGAATTACGCTAGAACATTACAGAACAGTAAACCTTTAGTTAGTATAAACGCATAAATCAGATAAACCAGTGTATAATAGGGTTACTTCTCTGATTTCTAATTCTACCTGCTTATTTTGTAAAGAAGATCATTTTTTTATACAGGTGTTCTAATTTTTAAAATTTACCAGTGCAAAAAACGAATAGAGTTTGTTAAGACTAATAAACTTTGTTTTAATTGCTTTGTCTAATGTCCATAAAGTTAAAATGTGTAAGAGTGCAAACACCTGCAAGCATTGTTTTAAGCATCATCATAGCATTTTGCATTTAGAAAATAATTTCAAACCAAAAAAAATGCATCTAGATTCCCTTCACCGGAAGCACAAGTGTTTGTTCCGAAATCGCAAATTAAACCAGAAAACAATTTGAGTGAGGTTTCTCCAACTGTTTGTGCAAACAACTATGAAAATAAACATTTTGGAGCTCATGCTAATGGTAAACGTAGTCATGTACTTTTGTGTACTGCTTTAATTAAGGTTCAAAACTCAAACCAGGAATTCATAAATTGTAGACGTTTACTAGATTCAGGTAGTGAAAAATCATTCATTCGTCGGAAAACAGCTATCAATTTAGGATTGAGCATAAAGGATTCGAAGATATTAGTGTCATGCTTAGGTACTTTCAATACAACTACTACTGGAGAAGTTGACTTGTTGTTTACACCTCATTTTAATACTAATTACAGAATTTCAACATCCGCTTACATAATAGACAAAATTACAGGAAACATTCCAAGTGTAACTTTACCTTTGAATTTATATGAAAATTTCCAAGATTTAACTTTAGCAGATCCTACATTTCATGAATCGGGAGAAATTGATATTTTACTTGGAGTTAGTTAATGTATTCCTTACTTTAATAAATGGCGAGGTAATTAAAAGGGGCAAAAATCTTCCATTTGCATGTTGTTCTAAGTTAGGATGGATAATTGCTGGAACTACACATTTTGAATTCCCAAACCGTAAGCAGGTTTCAGTCAATACGCTAAACGTAAACACGGAGGAATTAGTTAAATCATTTTGGGATTTGGAACAAATTCCCACATCGAAACCTTTAACTAAAGAGGAAAGATTGTGTGAAAATCATTTCGTGGAAAATCACGTGCGTAGTGAAAAGGGTCGTTACTGAGTAAAACTGCCATTCAAGCCTAAAAGAAATGAGTTGGGTAATTCCAGACCATCAGCCTTTCGCAAGTTTCTTAGTCTGGAACAAAAATTAATAAAAAACTCCTGGAGTATATCAACAGTATTAAAGGACTTCATGTCCGAATATTTATCACTTGGACACATGGAAGAATTATCCGATGATAATCCAGATAAAGTAAATTTTCATTATTATATACCTCATCATCACGTGCTAAAAGAATCCAGTCTTACCACAAAATTACGCGTCGTTTTCAATGCTAGTGCCAAAAAACTACATCAGGGATTATCGCTTAATGACACGCTAATGAATGGTCCCAAGGTACAAGACGACTTATTTACTATTCTTTGAGGTTTAGATGCTATCCCATAGCCATTACTAGTGACTTATTGAAAATGTATCGACAAGTTCAAATTCATTATGAAGATCGCGATTACCAAAAAATATTTTGGAGAGATGATCCATCGAAGCCGATTAAAACTTACAGGTTGTGCACAGTTACATACGGCACTACTTCCGCTTCATACCTCGCTACTCGCGTACTCAAACAACTAACAATTGACGAAGGAACTAAATTCCCAAAGGCAGCTGAAATAATATTACACAATTGTTATATTGATGATGTCCTATTTGGTTCAGACACAGTAGAAGACGCAGTAGAGTTAATTTCACAACTGAGTGAACTTTTACAAAAAGGTGGCTTTCAATTGCATAATGGTGGTGTACTAATGATCGCTCGATTTTTGGAAACTGCTTTGAGTGCTCGGAACTCAAATTCTTCATGTACAGTAGTTGATACTAAATCAATAAAAATTATTGGGTTTGGAGTGGTATCCAACGCAAGACGAGTTTACTTGCCACTTTGGAAATCTCGAAAACAGAGAGTGTTCTACTAAAAGAATAATTTTATCTTCTATTTCGAAAAATCTTTGATCCACTTGGTTGGTTAGCACCTTTTATAGTTGCAGCAAAAATCTTGCTTCAAGACATATGGAAATTACAAATCTCGTGGGATGATCCCTTGCCAGATGAAATCAATCAAAGATGGAAAATCTATTGTGAAGATATCGCAAATCTTGAATGCATTCATATTCCTAGGAGAGTATTATTGCCTAAATCTACAAATGTAGAACTTCATTGTTTCTGTGACGCATCAGAGAAAGCTTACGCCGCAGTGATTTATTTAAAGTCTTCAAATCATTCTTCAATTTCGGTGCAGCTACTAACATCAAAAACTCGCGTAGCTCCCCTGAAAGTAATCTCTATTCCTCGTTTAGAACTCTGCTCTGCAGTTCTATTAATGCATTTGATTCAAGCTGTGCAGAATTCATTGCAAATTCATGTTGACAGTATTTACGCATGGAGTGATTCAATGATAGTTTTGTCCTGGATACAATCAGAACCAACACGCTGGCAAACATTTGTAGCCAACCGCGTTTCAGAAATTCAATCAGTCTTACCTTCATCGCATTGGAATCACATAAAAGGAAAGGAGAATCCAGCTGATTGCGCATCAAGAGGTTTTTTGCCTTCAGAGCTTTCTACTCATGACTTGTGGTGGACAGGTCCTCAGTGGCTTAATTCAAATAATATTCCATTCTCTATCAACTTACCATTTTCAGAAGTCTTTAAGGGAACAACGGAAATATTTCTTGTTCAATTGGAACAGTCGCTTCGCAAATTCCAGTCCTTAATGAAGTTTCATCATTTTTGAAACTTAAAAGAATCATCGCATGGTGTTTTCGGTTTGCGAATAATTCAGCTAAATCTACCGCAACAAGACTTAAGGGTTACCTTAAAACCGAAGAATTGCAATACGCTAGAAATGCAATTGTTAGAGTAGTTCAAATGGATGAGTATTTTAATGAATATAATCTTCTGAAAAAGAATCAACCGTTAACCTCAAATAGTAAGATCCTTTCTTTGAACCCATTTATCGATAAGAATGGACTTATACGCGTTGGAGGAAGATTAAGACAATCCAACATCGCGCAGGACAGAAAATATCCTATTTTGTTGCCCAAGAAACATCACATAACACAGATTATAGTGAATCATTTT